AACGATGTCCTCCGTGTCCCTCCTCGATGTACTGAACGATGTCCTCCGTCTCCTAGTTTGATGTACTGAACGATGTCCTCCGTCTCCCTCCTTGTACTGAACGGTGTCCTCCGTCTCCCTCCTTGATGTACTGAACGGTGTCCTCCGTCTCCCTCCTTGATGTACTGAACGATGTCCTCCGTCTCCCTCCTCGATGTACTGAACGATGTCCTCCGTCTCCTTCCTTGATGTAATGAACGATGTCCTCCATCTCCCTCCTTGATGTACTGAACGATGTCCTCCGTCTCCCTCCTTGATGTACTGAACGGTGTCCTCCATCTCCCTCCTTGATGTACTGAACGATGTCCTCCGTCTCCCTCCTCGATGTACTGAACGATGTCCTCTGTCTCCCTCCTCGATGTACTGAACGATGTCCTCCATCTCCTTCCTTGATGTACTGAACGATGTCCTCCATCTCCCAGATGGATGTACTGAACGATGTCCTCCGTCTCCCTCCTTGATGTACTGAACGGTGTCCTCCGTCTCCTAGTTTGATGTACTGAACGATGTCCTCCGTCTCCCTCCTTGACGTACTGAACGATGTCCTCCGTCTCCCTCCTCGATGTACTGAACGATGTCCTCCGTCTCCCTCCTTGTTGTACTGAACGGTGTCCTCCGTCTCCCTCCTTGATGTACTGAACGGTGTCCTCCGTCTCCCTCCTTGATGTACTGAGCGATGTCCTCCGTCTCCCTCCTCGATGTACTGAACGATGTCCTCCGTCTCCTTCCTTGATGTACTGAACGATGTCCTCCATCTCCCTCCTTGTTGTACTGAACGGTGTCCTCCGTCTCCCTCCTTGATGTACTGAACGGTGTCCTCCGTCTCCCTCCTTGATGTACTGAACGATGTCCTCCGTCTCCCTCCTCGATGTACTGAACGATGTCCTCCATCTCCTTCCTTGATGTACTGAACAATGTCCTCCATCTCCCAGATGGATGTACTGAACGATGTCCTTCATCTCCTTCCTTGATGTACTGAACGATGTCCTCCGTCTCCCTCCTTGATGTACTGAACGATGTCCTCCATCTCCTTCCTTGATGTACTGAACGATGTCCTCCGTCTCCCTCCTTGATGTACTGAACGATGTCCTCCGTCTCCTTCCTTGATGTACTGAACCGTGTCCTCCGTCTCACTCCTTGTTGTACTGAACGGTGTCCTCCGTCTCCCTCCTTGATGTACTGAACGATGTCCTCCATATCCCAGATGGATGTACTGAACGGTGTCCTCCGTCTCCTAGTTTGATGTACTGAACGATGTCCTCTGTCTCCCTCCTTGATGTACTGAACGGTGTCCTCCGTCTCCCTCCTTGATGTACTGATCGTTGTCCTCCGTCTCCCAACGTGATGTTATCAGCATTATCATCCATAGTATCATGGCGGTCGAAGAGACAGGCAAACTGACTTTGGTGCAGAACCTCTCTGCTTGCGCACAGAGAAGTAGACATTCGTTTGATGTGACTCCCACACCTGCAGCAAGGTGCTGTGGGGCATCTGATGGAATTCATCTCCCCTCTCGCGATGTGTATGTTTGTGTAAACATCAGTGTTTAAATCAAGTGGCTAGAATTGCTCAAATTGGCAGATTTCTCATTGTCGTGATTGGCCATGTAACATAATATTAACCTGAAGAAAGCCAAACCTTTGGTCACACGTTGACCACCCTGCATGCGTGCAGCACCCACTGGTCACACGTTGACCACCCTGCATGCGTGCAGCACCCACTGGTCACACGTTGACCACCCTGCATGCGTGCAGCACCCACTGGTCACACGTTGACCACCCTGCATGCGTGCAGCACCCACTGGTCACACGTTGACCACCCTGCATGTCCGAGAGCAGCCCGTGGAGCTCCCGTGTCACGTGTTTACTGTGCGCTCTCAACGCGTGTCATGGGAATGAACTGTATGTATGACGGCGGTCTGGGTCAATACCAATAATGTGTGCCAAGTTTGAACAATCGATGACAATCTGCTCATTTTTATGATATATCAAATATATATCTAAATAACTTTTGAGTTTCCTTTTTGGCAGAGTACATATCTGAAACAGGTTGAATATTTTGGCCACGTGTTCAGGCTCGGCATTAACTTTCATTACAGTGCTGTGGCGTAGCCAGCCGGGGGATTCTTTTTATAGAAAACAGTTTTATTTTAATTAAAATGGGGACATATGATAATGTATGGTCCCAAACCAGATAACTGACCCAACATTTCTCTTAGCCCATGTCAAAATAGCTGCATTGGAAATTCTAAAATAAACATTTCTAAAACTCCTTAATATCAAAAGGCACCAGTTCAGTATGTGCTTTATATATAGACATGCAATGTTTGGCAATTGAATATTTAACAGTATATTTGTTATACTCCATAAGTGAACCCACCCTATATTAAAACTTAAATCCAACTTGTTGCCATGGAAACGTAAAAAATAAAAAACTATGAAATTCCTATATAGCAAAAGGCACTAGTTCAGTATGTGCCTGGTAGACATGCAAAGTTTTGTAAGAAAGTATTTAATTGGTTTTGAGTTACGCTCCGGAAACGAACACCACCCTTATAGAACCTAAGTCCAACTTGTTGCCATGTAAACGTAAAAAATAAATAATTCTAAAGTTCCTAAATAGCAAAAGGCACAACTTCACCACCAGTGATATAAATGCAAAGTTTGATGAAGAAATATTTAACGGTTTTCGGGTGCTGCTCCGGAAACGATTCAGACAGACAGGCAGACGGACAGACGGGACGGACATGCCCATAGCTATATCCCCCCGCATTATTTGCCGGGAGGGGGGGGGATAAAATAGTTAACTACGGCCTTGCAGTGATAGTGGTGGGTCAAAGAGAAACATTCTGGTCTCAGTCCCTGCGATACCAGGGGCAAATCTTACACGGGCACTTGGCAACTTGTTGTGCAAGCGAACATGGCAACACGTTACACGTGATATAGTTCTAAGACGTTCACCACCCAAGAGCACGGGCATGCTGCTGACAAATCTAGGAAGATTCGAGCCCAACATCATAAATAGGTTTCTGGGAGACCTAAGGGACGCAACTCTGCACAGCGAAATGCGGAGCCTTCAGACGACAACGCCCCATCACAGAGAAGAGGCGTGACTGACCTCAGCGTAGAGGTGGAGATGACCTTGAAACAACGCTAGCCGTCATATTGCTGGAATATTGATGAGTGCGGCGTTAAACATCGAGTTTTGTCCCTGACTTGTTAGTGATGTAGATATTACGTTTTGGTATAATTGGAGACATGTATATGTTTTCGATACTTGTGTCAAAACGTACGGTTTCAAAATATTAAGTGAAGGAGTTTTACATGTACTGATGACTTAAAAAACATACCAAAACAATTGACAAACAACGATATTCCAAATGTGGTGTTTGTAAACATGAAATATGATACAATGATACAGCGTTATGACAAACGGGTAGTAAAACTTCAGGACTCAAGTGTACAAGGACGTGGAGGTACATTGTTAGAGTGGACACAGAAGAGGTGGCCCACAAAGACGTTTGACGTCATCTTACTTCAGCAGAAATCGCCATGTGTACGGACTGTAAAAACATATCTCAGTTTTCTCTAGTTAATTCGTAAAGTGATAAAAACATTATTTCAAAACCTTTCAGCATACATGTCTACTTTCAATTAATCAGACACTATATCTAAAAACTGCAATTATTACATAAACAGTTATTAGTCGGAAAATGAGTCCACATGTTTGATGCCATTTACCTCTGTAATAAATATGAATTGATCGATGCTTGTGAATGTTTGCGTTGCTAAGATACTCTGTTAAAATATATTGAGAAGTAAAACTAAAACTGTGACAAAACACCCATAAGGTCTGTTAGCTCATTGTCGGTCACGTGTTTCGAGGTTAAACTCACTCTACAAAGACCTACACTACTCAGGCCGGAGAGCAGATGTTAAAATAGTGTAAGCAGAACTGTTGATTATTGGTCATATATCAAAGGACTTTATGCTCTTAAATATGAACGACAAAACACTTTTCATATTTAGATTCCATTGTACGACTAGTTCATAAACATGTATATAATTTTATTACACATATGCTCAATACACTTACTGATTATGTACGCTATGCCAGGTGTTAACTCCTTGCTTTCTATGGAATATTTTCATCCGTTACCTATTCTGATATATGTCCAGTAGCCACCCTCCCCTTCTGTCCAGCAGCCACCCTCCCCTTCTGTCCAGCAGTATTCCTGCACCTCCGCCACCTGGTGGTCAGTGTGAGGTACAATTGCTCTTTCTACGAAGATTTGAAAGAGCGTCATACAACTCTTGCTCAAAGGGTATTTAATGAGGGATAAATCATTCAAGGCCTTCGTAAGTGTTTCAGAAAGTTGTGGAAAATATGTGTGGGCATTTCCAAATTTGACGCGTCAGTGACAAATATGATGTCCGATGCAATTTCCGTGTTTGTTTTGAGGTGACCATTTGACTTGGCTGTGCATGTGTTTTTGACGGGTGTCACGCTCACCTTTACGCGAAATCCTGGTAGCATCACTATTTGATAGTGAGTCCCCTTATTCGGAATCGTACAATGACCTCTGCTTTATGCAAATGAAAAGAGTTCTGTCGCTTCTATCCGCGTGTAACATAAACACCACACATTATGACCTAGGTCCTGTGAGAAGAGTAGGTGGGATGTCGACAACAGTGACGACATAGTGACACCCCTTACACATAGTGCCATACTTTTTCCCCGCAAACATACATGTGTCTGAAAAAGTTCATAAATCAGACCTCTTATTTTGTCCAGTATTTTGACTGCCTCTCTCCAGTGCAACATATACTTCCAGTGGCCTCACACATCGCCAGATTGGCACAAGACTGAACTCATACCATGCTATGGCCGTGTCGGGAGATATATACCCAGGCATCGCTGATCTATGGATCTCATCTCAGATAAAGCATCAATCGCGAATATCTGACCGAACAAGTTTATTGGGCGTAAAGAGCGTAAAAGACAAAAAAGGTGAACATGATATGCGTGTATTCTTGAAAGTCCTTGATGACACCAGGTGTCGGAGAGGTGGCAAGTATGCCCTGCTCTACCCATGGCACCCGGCACGTGATGTTAAAGAAGTAGACAGTGTTTTTTAGCTGTGACATTTGAATAAAGGTACCTGTTCAGAAGTCTCGGCACCCTAGAAATGCAGACGTCATAATATGTAGCTGCTGTGTCTGTCTTGTCGTAAGTTGACCGCAACAAACACTTGTCAGTCCAACATACAGTGTCTATCTATGACAGAGAATGTTAATGTACTTTTAGGTTGGTATTTATGTAGTGAACTTCATAGCATTGTGTGCGTACAACGGGAAACAAAGACGACTTAATTTGGCATACAGGATTTTTGTGAACATAAAATTTCCTGAATCCCAAATCATGTACATCCTTTAGCACCTTCAGCATCGGTATGCACGCGTCTCGATCCGTGCACTTCCCATGGTATTCTACAAGCAACTGTCGGACAGAGGAGAGATTCCGCGAGGCCACCATTTCCGGCAGGGATCTCCATTCAGAGCGTTCGACGTCCATTTTAAGAACATCGATGACTTTCTGAAAAAGAAATAATGCTTTCAGTATTGAGTGAGGTACATGTATAAGGCCGCTTTGAATGTGTTTCAGTTCATAGGTGGGTGAAATTGAGTTTAACGTCGCGTCCAAGTTTATTGCACTGATATAGCGACGTGCATGCACGTGTTTGTGTGTGTGCGTGTGTATGTCTGCTTGTACTAGTCCGGACTGATGCCGATTTATAGTGCTAGCTCACTGAGATACCATGCCGCAGTTTAACATGAATACCCCACTCAGACACAGTATACTGACTCAGAGCCGACCAATCCTTGTTTTAGCCCCTTAATGCCGAGCGCCAGACAGGGTAACAAAAGTACCATCTTTAACCGTCTTTTGGTATGACGCGGCCGGGGATCGAACCCCAGACGCACTACCACTAGACCACGGAGGCTGTTGTTTCAGTTTATAACGTTTGTCATGTAGCCTGACGTCTCACTGATCTTCTGCTACAGTGAGTGAGTGGGTGGGTGAGTGAGTGAGTGAGTGAGGTGTTACGCCACTTTTAGCAATATTCCAGCAAAATCACGGCGGGGGACACCAGAAATTAGCTTCACACATATGGGGAACCGAACACGGGTCTTCGGCATGACGAGCGAACGCTTTAACCACTAGGCTACCCCGCCGTCCACCAGAGGAATTAGACAAATGAGGGTGTGGGTTGTACACACAGTTCAAAACCTTGTTAATTAAAGAGAATGATTGTTATTAAACGCCACAGTAAGTCCGTCTCATACCGTCCGGGTTTGATACCCCCAAATCCACAAAAACATCGACTGACCACCCAATCCATTCAAGTCGACTCTTACGACACGCATAGGCTGAGTGGTTGTAACCAGGAATCATCACGATATGGAGTGGAATTCCTGGCGACCAATGCTTCGAGTAAGGCGAGCTTGTAGTTTGGTACTGCTATTGGTACGGAGCTCCGTATTGACTGGCCGTCTAAAGTCGCTGTAATGTCCCACGCAGATTTGCGCCGCTTAGACAAACCAGAAACCTGTGATTGTGGGTTCGAATCCAGGTTCGCCTTGATTATGTTTTTAGGTTTGTCAGCTACATACCCATGCTCGTGGGTTCCCCCAAGTAATAATCATCTGAGACACATGATTTCGGACTTTCTTCCCACATCCAACTTATGCGCCGTGGTATGACTGAAATAGTGGTCCTACCTCCTGGTGATTGAGCATGGCCTTCACTCGGCCCAAGGTGTGCATTTCCCAGTGTTGTCCGTTCACCGTGTTCTCCCGGTCTATGCCTACGTTCAAGAAACGAACACGCGCTGATCTCTGGTAGCTGTTTTTTTTCATGCTGAAACGATACCATATTGAAACTCATGTAAAACGACGTGTCCACTTTATGATACAGATTACTAGAGTTCAAGACATGTGTTACATCAATATGGAATGTGGTCCAGACGACTTGGGAGTTTTGTCAAGTAGGAGTGCAAGAAAAAGCCCTGATTTTGATCCTTTGTTTGTTGAAACTAACCTTCCACGTTTAGCGGACTCCAAGATTCCAAGATGCGCCCTAACTATATACCATTATATGGGGTTCACCAACGAAGTGAACGAAGGCGTGTATGTAGATGTAATACCTTTAATTTTGTAAAGATGACAGTAGCGGAAGGGTATGGCTTGAATGTCGATGCAATATCTTTGGGCGTAGTGACAGTTGCTGTTTGTTTGTTTGTCATTTAACGCCGCACTCAGCAATATTCCAGCTACATGACGGCGGTCTGTAAATAATCGACAATCCAATGATTCACATCTTGAGCATCGATCCAAGGAACTGGGATACGATGACATGTATCAACCAAGTCAGCGGGCTTCGGGGTGACAGTGCTATCGTTAGAGTATGGCTTGCATTGGGATGCCATAGGTGTTGATAACACTAGCAGTTCGGCTCGACATTCCAGATGCTTGTAGTCTGTGCCTACTGTTGTGGGGGTGTCGCGAGGAGTACTCACAGAGGCACCTGTAGTCTTTACAACAGAACATGTAATCATTACGTAACTGTGCCGAGGGATGTATTTTATTATTTGAGGCTTATTTGTAAATGTCTGTGTCACAATGTAATCCTCAACTGAATTGTTTTATGCTGTGAGGCAACGACTTAATGGGTCAGTTGGGTCAGAGGCCAACACCAGTGCCGCCCGACGGCGCCCCATGCAGTCAGCGGATGCCGGCAGGGCCACTCGGTTGCCAGCTGGGAAGTACATGGAGGTACGTATGTATCATTTCTTATTTGCTGGAAAGGAAAATCATACGGCACTGCAGATCGTCATGGTTGTATGTCTCCTCTGTATTATCAAGAAACTAGTTTCCAAAACTAAAATTACACGGAAAGTCCTCCCGTTGCTGTTAAGGAAGTGAGTAAATTAAGGCGGTCGCCGTAAAACTCTGTATCCTGGTGTCGGCCTGATCCCAGACACACCTGCATGTATCCCACGTGCAGTCCTTGGTGGTGTGACACCAATCTCCGTGAAAGGGGGATTCGAACCAGTGACCAGCGGATCCTGCAACTCCTGACTAGCATCGTGATATTAGGATTATAAAATGGTACAAACCTTGGGTCAAACGAAAATACGCCACACTCGTAGTTTTTCGCCGTATCATCGTCGAAAGTAAAGTCAAAGTTGATGCTGCAACAACAAAAAAAAACGACTTATGGAGACACACGTTTTCGGCTTGGAGATTCATGTTATCCAAGGAAGTAATTAATTCCCGACGACCTACACTGATCGAATTTGGATAAAAAAACGTGGGTTGACAGGACGAGCAGTGGACAGTGGGGACGCTCACTTATAAACATTGTGCCATTTGACCCCAATTCAATCGGGCAGGTCACATACCCGTGAAGATCCGCGGTAGAATAGGTCAGCAGCAACCCATGCTTGCCATAAAATGCGACTATGCTTGTGTAAGAGGCGACTAGCGGGATCGGGTGGTCAGGCTCTCTGACTTGGTTGATGGATGTCATCGTATCCCAATTGCGTGGATCGATGCTCACGATATCAATCACTGGATTGTTTGGTCCAGACTCGATTATTTACAGACCGCCGTCATATAGCTGGATAATTGCTGAGTGCGGTGTTAAACAACAAACAAACAAACTACATCAGTCACAGACTCACCCAAAGGAGTACACAATACAAGGCTTTACGGGACGATATTCTCTGTCATCACATATTTCCCAGCCTCCGTCTCCCAGATTTCCCATCCGCAGCTTCCGGGAGCACAATATGTCTACGTTGTCAAGGTAACTATGTGAAAAACAGAGTGATGAATGTTATATGCGTGTCCACGATTGCATATACAAAAACAATTTTGTTAGATCTATTACAATATCACGTGACGTGACGTCGTCACCTAACTCTTGTACAACAATGTATAATACTTAAAGCCGCAGCATTCGCTTCTTACACTTGCGTTATTATAGAGATATTCTTGAAAACATAATGAAAAAACTGTCGAAACTCGTTAGTCTGACCCCGCTACTCCGGATGCCTCGCTTTCAGGAGGCCATACAGTTTAGGATTGACTCTAATATATATACATGTATTTAAGAAATAAACAATTCGTGGTCGTTGTTTATCGTACAATAAAACACTGCAGGGAGAATACATATTGTACGATAAACAACGACCACGAGTCGTTTATCTTTTACATGAGACATCAAAATTATGTACAGCCTCTTTGAGGATGTTGATAAAATGTACAAGCTTTAAACATATTAACCCAAATTTTTTTATAATGATGACCTCCCGAATATATGCGTTGCCCAGCTACATCTGTGTGGAAGATCTCACCAGACACTCCCCTCTCAAAAGTAACGTCGTCCAATATACGACGTAATAATGCGAGCGCATGTTCGAATCTCCAGAACTTACGGCATGATAGAACAATGTTTTATTGTGAAATAAACCATACTTCGTTCTTCATTGCTCTGCGATTTTGCGCGCAGCTATCTGATACATGTATATTTATTTCAACAGGAACACACGCCCTTCCACTGGAAGTTATTTATCTGCACGAATTCACCTGAAACGGTACCGTCCGGTCTAACCAGGTGTCCCGTCTAACCAGGTGTCGCTGTACACAGACACATACCTGTGGTAGGTCCGAAACACCGCGGCGGCTGACAACTTGTCTATAGCAGCTTTGTCCGGCAGGATAATCTAGAATCAATGTCATCAGTATCAGGTGTCGTCATTCAGGTAAAGTGTGGGAAGAATTATCGAAATACATTGTAACCCCGGGAGGCCGGACACCCTATTATCTGGACATAAACCAAATCGTCAGGATGGGTGAGGTGAGGTGAAATGTGGTTTAACGTCGCGTTCAAGATTATTACATTTATATAGTGAAGTACATGTGTGTGTGTGTGGTTGCTTGTACTAGTCCGGGCTGATGCCGACTTTATAATGTTAGCCCACTGCGATACCATGCCGCAGTTTAGCATGAATATCAGTATACTGACTCAGAGCCGACCAGTCCTTGTTTTAGCCCCTTTATGACGAGAACCAGACAGGGTAACAACAAGTACCATTTGTTTATGTCTTTTGGTATGACGCGGCCGGAGATGAAACCCCGACCTTCCGCTCTCCGGCAGGCGTCTATCACTAGACTAGGCAGGCGGTCGACCTTTAGGATGGATCTGTTATGTATTGGTTGAACTATATTACATATGGACCATCTAAGGTTACAATACCATATTACTGAAACGAACTAACGCTATTCTGAAATAACAGAGAGCTATGCTATTTCACGGAAAGCGCCTTCTGGTGTTTGGCTGTGGGTACCCAGACACTTACCTGGCCTTGTCGTCGAATGTCTCCGAGGGGCGTTTTGTCGTTGAGGTCATTTTCCGTCACCGCAACACTATCTGCTTTCTTGTTCACCTGAAATACAAAGTGCCTTTCTCTTCAGCAATCATTCTACAGCCATCATTCGTAATAAGCGTCACCTATGTAAAAAAATTGAATGCAGATTCAATTTCCGAGTGGTCTTGTGAGATGCAACGTAAATACCAGTGGACGCGATGGGTTTTATTTCCCCCTTCCGACCGCTCGTGAGTTTCTTGGACATGCCTCAGTTCTGTACTTCTTCTCACACCAGGGAAGTAAGTCTGATCCCCCACGCCAGAAACCTATGATTGTGGGTTCGAATCCCAGTTCGCGCCGATACCGTTTCTAGGTTTGTCAGCACCATGATATAACTTGAATACTGTTAAAAGCGGCGTTAAACCCAACACACTCACTCACTCACGTGAAAGCAATCTAATTCTTTCCAAAATCCAGATTGGGCATAAAAAGCCGTGCTTACATAAACAGTATTCATCTTGATACAAATGGGCTGTTCACTTGATACAAATGGGCTGTTCACTTGATACAAATGGGCCGTTCACTTGATACAAATGGGCTGTTCACTTGATACAAATGGGCTGTTCAGTATGGTTGGGCCTCAAGGCTGGGTACACCTGAGCTGATGGTCTCATCAGCAAAGATTGCAGTCATCGGCTCACTGAGTCTGTTTCGACGATTGTACAGTCCTGATTATCAACCACTGACCCGAGCCCCGCGACAACGTCTAATGTTAAAGCGTTCCTTCGAAAGTCATTCAACTCATCATCCTTTAGAAAATCCGATTACCTCTCTGATGAAAGATGTGCCCTGTGTCGGTGCTGCTACAATCATGCGTCAGTAATGCCAAGCTAATGCATGAGTGAGTAAGTTCTGGTTTCTAGCGCACATCAAGTTGGCATCATTCCGCCATGCTTGAGAAACAGATCTGTAGGTCTGATGCTGTGTATGACTTTGTATGCCTGAAGGCAAATTGTGATCATATTCCAATAACAATATCCTATCTGTTGTCAGTCTTTGATGACACTGATGTACTTTCAGTGTCACACAGGTGTACAGGATGACTGTTATCTGCATCCCTAAACAATCCAGCGCCTTCAGGTGTAGATGACCAAGCACTCACCTGGTCGTGTGAGCGCCTTCAGGTGTCGATGACCAAGCACTCACCTGGTCGTGTCAGCGCCTTCAGATGTAGATGACCAAGCACTTACCTGGTCGTGTGAGCGCCTTCAGGTGTAGATGACCAAGCACTTACCTGGTCGTGTCAGCGCCTTCAGGTGTAGATGACCAAGCACTTACCTGGTCGTGTTAGCGCCTTCAGGTGTAGATGACCAAGCACTCACCTGGTCGTGTCAGCGCCTTCAGGTGTAGATGACCAAGCACTTACCTGGTCGTGTGAGCGCCTTCAGGTGTAGATGACCAAGCACTCACCTGGTCGTGTGAGCGCCTTCAGGTGTAGACGACCAAACACTTACCTGGTCGTGTGAGCGCCTTCAGGTGTAGATGACCAAGCACTTACCTGGTCGTGTGAGCGCCTTCAGGTGTAGACGACCAAGCACTTACCTGGTCGTGTGAGAGCCTTCAGGTGTAGATGACCAAGCACTCACCTGGTCGTGTTAGCGCCTTCAGGTGTAGATGACCAAGCACTCACCTGGTCGTGTCAGCGCCTTCAGGTGTCGATGACCAAGCACTTACCTGGTTGTGTTAGCGCCTTCAGGTGTAGATGACCAAGCACTCACCTGGTCGTGTCAGCGCCTTCAGGTGTAGATGACCAAGCACTCACCTGGTCGTGTGAGCGCCTCCAGGTGTAGATGACCAAGCACTCACCTGGTCGTGTCAGCGCCTTCAGGTGTAGATGACCAAGCACTTACCTGGTCGTGTCAGCGCCTTCAGGTGTAGATGACCAAGCACTCACCTGGTCGTTTCAGCGCCTTCAGGTGTAGATGACCAAGCACTCACCTGGTCGTGTGAGCGCCTTCAGGTGTAGATGACCAAGCACTCACCTGGTCGTGTCAGCGCCTTCAGGTGTAGATCACCAAGCACTTACCTGGTCGTGTCAGCGCCTTCAGGTGTAGATGACCAAGCACTCACCTGGTCGTGTCAGCGCCTTCAGGTGTAGATGACCAAGCACTTACCTGGTCGTGTCAGCGCCTTCAGGTGTAGATGACCAAGCACTTACCTGGTCGTGTCAGCGCCTTCAGGTGTCGATGACCAAGCACTTACCTGGTCGTGTTAGCGCCTTCAGGTGTAGATGACCAAGCACTCACCTGGTCGTGTGAGCGCCTTCAGGTGTAGATGACCAAGCACTTACCTGGTCGTGTCAGCGCCTTCAGGTGTAGATGACCAAGCACTTACCTGGTCGTGTTAGCGCCTTCAGGTGTAGATGACCAAGCACTTACCTGGTCGTGTTAGCGCCTTCAGGTGTAGATGACCAAGCACTTACCTGGTCGTGTCAGCGCCTTCAGGTGTCGATGACCAAGCACTTACCTGGTCGTGTCAGCGCCTTCAGGTGTCGATGACCAAGCACTTACCTGGTCATGTTAGCGCCTTCAGGTGTAGATGACCAAGCACTCACCTGGTCGTGTCAGCGCCTTCAGGTGTAGATGACCAAGCACTTACCTGGTCGTGTCAGCGCCTTCAGGTGTCGATGACCAAGCACTCACCTGGTCGTGTTTGCGCCTTCAGGTGTAGATGACCAATCACTCACCTGGTCGTGTCAGCGCCTTCAGGTGTAGATGACCAAGCACTCACCTGGTCGTGTCGCCGGGGTTCTTCCAGCGGCGTGTTGTGGTTGAGGTCATTTTCCACCACTCTGACACCTGATTTCATGTTGACCTGAATAAAAAAGAGTCTTTCTACACTGCAATCATTCTACAGCCATTGTACTTACAAGACATCGCCTTTTGAAAGTTGAAATCCACTTTCCTATGTGTACAGGTGTTGCTGTGACGTGGACTGTCCAACTAATGAATGTGTGAGCTGGTAGTGATTTTCGCCGCATGAGCAATTTGGAAGACTTTCCGCAAAGGTAGAGAAACAGAATTATAGGAGTAATCTTGTTTATTATTTATGATGACTGAACATCAATGGTAGCCATGTTTTAAAAAGACAATAGCCTATGTGGTGTGTGTCTTTGATGCCCCTAATTGTGCTTTCATCGTTACACGTGTGTTTGTTTGTTTGTGTGTTGTTTAACGCCGCACTTAGCAATATTCCACATATATATGACGGCAGTCTGTACATAATCGAGTCTGGACCAGACAATCCATGGGTTAATATCATGAACATCGATCCACGCAATCGGGATGACATGTATCAACCAAGTCAGCAAGCCTGGCCACACATGTGTACAGTACACTATATCTGTACTGTACTGTTCTGTACTGCACACCATCAACAAGCCATCACCGGCTCCCTGCACGCACCTGTAAGTGTTGACTCATGATCAGTGCCCCCAGCACCACACCGGCCAGCATCACCACCACCACTAGTCTCCCCTTCATTGCATCCGCTACGTCTTCAGTCTGCAAGAACAAGTGACGGGACACTTTCCATTCCAGAGACCTTTTTAAATAATTGTCAAAATTTGTGAGGGTGCATTTTGTTCAATTAAGGATTGATTTTTTCCCGGTTCATTGAGGTATGAATTGAGGAACGATGTGCAAACTTTTGTACATGAAACACGAAGACATGAAAGTTGAACGGAGGCGAGCGGGGAAAAAACCAGGCGAGCGAGTCTGCACGTTTGCTGGTTCATTCATTCTGGGCCTTCGGTTTTAAAGGTTAGGTTGGACAATGAATATGCATCAAAGTCGCTAAGTGTCCTGTGCATGACGATACACGTGAGCAGAAAGGGAATTCCCTCGACTGTAATATTGGGATTCCCCGACATTCCGCAGTAATAAAAGTAGTGCGCCTCGGTAGGCGTGGCTTAATGTTTTACATTCATTGGGAAATGAATGCAATAACACGTGACCAATTCAGCTGATCAGAATGCAGGAATTTCAATGAACACAACGAAAATGTAATTATTCAGCTGTGAAAGATAGAAAATGTTTGAAAATTAACAAGATAACTGAAGATTGCTGAAAGTATCAGGAATGTTTCTGGATGCAAGTTTCCTTCATGTGTTGTTTCTAGTAAATAATGTTAGCCTGAGCATATCAGTTACCTGTTGTAATATTCTGTCACTTTCATTCTAAATATCCTCTGAACGCTGAGATTTCTGGACATGTACTTTATGACAATATTTATTAATTATTATCTTTCAGATGTTGAGCCTATTAATGAACAAATGTCAATTCTTATGTGATGTTATTTATAAATTTCATGTTTACACTTCCAATTGAAAGTAATCGAATAAAGGCTCACTTGTACCTTCGGTCTTTGTGAATTATTATAAGATTATTTTGGAACCGTCCCAGTGAGTATGATTTTACGCCGCTTTTAGCAATATTACAGCAATATCACGACGGGGGACACCAGAAATGGGCTTCTCACAATGTCCCCACGTGCGGTACCTACCCAACCGCCCCTGTTAGATCTAGATATACCAGTTTCATTGGGAGTTTGAAACACATTGCACCACCCAAAAGGGTGACATGTGCCGTAGGTAGAATTCTATATTACAATGATAATATGGCATATGCTACTCATTGAAGGTAGGTCACACAGACTTGTCATCACTGCTTATTTATATCCATCCAAATATTATAACACCTACATGCATGAGACTCCACACACAAGTACAGAAATAGGCCCGGTAGTGATAATGGAAAACATACGACATGGATGATCTTCACTCATACCTTAGCCTTACACTTAGGTCACTCGGGGTCTTTTCCAGTCGGGGTCCTGTCCTAAAGATGTCACTAACCAAGTTTTATTGACCTACAGAAAACCATTCACGAGTTATCACTTTTGAGTGTTTGGTCGTGTGAGTGAATTTATCATTCTGTATAAGTGATTGCCCGGCATATAAGCCATGAATTAGTACTCAGATGATATAACCACTAATATAACCACTATTATAACCACTAATATAACCACTAATATAGCCACTAAAATAACCACTTATATAGCCACTAATATAGCCACTAATATAACCACTAATATAGCCACTAATATAGCCACTAATATAGCCACTAATAAAACCACTAATATAGCCACTAATATAACCACTAATTAAGCCACTATTATAATCACAAATATAATCACTAATATAGCCACTAATATAACCACTAATATAACCACTATTATAACCACTAATATAACCACTAATATAGCCACTATCATAACCACTACAAGCACAAGAGTCAAAAAGACTTCTGCTGAAACTGTGGTGTCTCTACATCACCCACGACCATTTCGACCTCGCCCAACCAAAGCGGTTTTTTTCTGGAAACTTTTCGTCTGACTATGACCTTACATAACAGATCAATGTGTGATCAAACTTTATTCGGGATTAAGGAAATATATCTTATACCAGAGATTTCAAAAATGCATGGCTTCAAAAGATAGTCGGCCATCAGACAGAGTCCAAACCCTGTACGAACGCCATTTACACCGCTGTCCAATGAAACACAGACAAAAAACAAATAATACAATTTATCATATAATGGGTAGGTTTCTCGGCAGGATAAAGCCAACGGATAAAAACGATATCCGTTGGGGTCATATGCGGATAAAGATGCAAATATCAAAGGTCAAGTAGGGACTACTTTCAGTGTTTACAAACAAACATGGCGTCGCTCTTGGCAATCGGAGATCGAGTCAGAATTGATAATCGCGGATGTGGAGTCGTTACTGGAATTATAGATCGAAGTTCAATTGAGAAGTCCTTCTTTGTTTTGATCGATGGGACTGATTACGAAGGACGACTTGATCGACATCGTTTAAGTAAGATTCCATGTCCAGTCACACGTCCGATAATGCCGGTATCCGAGCAGACGAATACAAGGTTTAGTTTAGTTGTAGATGAGGATATCGATGAAATCATTGAGACAAACGAAAACAAAAACACCGCAAAAAAGACTTTGTACACAATGAACCTTGTGGGCGAATTTCTTTCCTCTCAAAATGAACATAGGCCTATTGAGACCATCCCCCCATGTGAACTTTCACCTTACATATGCAAATTTCTCGTTGGCATAACGAAGAAAGACGGCTCTGACCCCGAACCTTTAACCCTTCGGTCATCGAGCATTGACAGATATTTGAAGCGAAAAGAATATGGGTGCACACTTTCCCACTCCCCAGAGTTTGGCAAAGTACGGGAAGTTCTGAAATGTCGACAAATAGCTCTCAAAAAGAAAGGGAAAGGCAACTTACCCAACAGATCAGATCCGTTATCCGACGAAGAAGTGAATAAACTTTGGGAAACGGGTCAGTTTGGCGCACACTCTCCCCATGCAATCATAAACACATTGTGGTTTCACAACACAGTCCACTTTGGCCTCAGGGGTGGGGACGAGCATCGATCCATGTGTTGGGGAGATGTGTTGTTGAAACGTGATTCAAACGGGTTGGAGTTTCTCACTTTCAATGAAAAACAAACCAAGACACGTCCAGGTACAAATCCAAAGGATATCCGGGATGTTACTCCCAAAATGTGGGAAAATCTTGAGGATCCTGATAGGTGTGTTGTTAAAATCTACAAGGTGTATGCAGCAAAACGTCCGCTTGATTATAATGAACCAAATGATCCTTTTTACATTTCGACAAACACTCTTGGTCCAAACGCACAATATGTTGGCAGCACTCGAAACATCCAAACGCCTTACAAACCACAGCGCAAGGAAATATCTGATTCAAAAACTGTCAGACTGCAACGTCCCTGCCAATCAAATAATGCAGCTTTCGGGGCACAAAAACATGCAATCAATAAACAATTACAGTAAACTAAATGAACAGCAACATCGTGACATCTCCCGAGTTCTGTCAGATACAACTAGACCCAGTTTCAGTTCCTTCAATCCTGCCTTGTGTTATCCTGTCCCACCGATCGGCACCTTTGGCTTGGCCGCGCCATGTGCGACTTCCACAACTCGGTCACAAAACGAAATGACTGTGAATGTGTCAGGCGGTGTCAACACTTTGTTCGCAGGTCCTGTCATGGGGGGAAACATCACTGTGAATGTTGTTCCTGAGCAGAAACCCTCACCACCGCGAAAATACCGGCGTCTGGCAATAATTGACTCAGACAGTAGCCAGGAAACTCTTGACTGATGTCGTTGTTTCGCCTCCTAACTTGATGACCCGTTACACTGCCCACGTGCAGAAATTTGAACCAAAACAAACCTTTGTTATTTTCAAACGTTCATTGAAGCACATTCTCCCTTCATAACGCGTTTTTGTTTTCATTATCAAATAATTAGTCTATGCCAATAATCAGTGTCTAAAAATACAAGTTTCTGTTGGAACTATATTGTCTGTTGTCTATGTCCGGTTGAACGAACGGGAACCAGTCTAAGTGACTTATCACTTACTGTGTGACGTAATACATTAATGCGCACATTTCAGGAAAACTTGCAATGTTTGTGGGAGATGAGAATACTTTTTTCAACGGTAAAAGTTAAGAATGACATTATATGATAAAGAGGTTATCACGCTCGTGTGTTTGGGGATGGTAAATATCCTGCATTAGGAATAAACACTATGTATTTAGCTCGCCAAGGCTCGCTAAATACAATGTTTATTCCTAATGCAGGATATTTACCATCCCCAAACACACGAGCGTGATAACCTCTATGTTATTTATACATAAATGCATATGGCACACATTGAACAGTGTTCACATGATGGTTCCTGATGCAGTATGCATTTCCTTCTATGCTTCAATACCCATAGCGTGTAGAGTGTGGAGACTGTTCGCTTGACAGCACCTTCCATTGTTCGCTTGACAGCACTTTCCATTGTTCGCTTGACAGCACCTTCCATTGTTCGCTTGACAGCACCTTCCATTGTTCGCTTGAGAGCACCTTCCATTGTTCGCTTGACAGCACCTTCCATTGTTCGCTTGAGAGCACCTTCCATTGTTCGCTTGAGAGCACCTTCCATTGTTCGCTTGACAGCACCTTCCATTGTTCGCTTGAGAGCACCTTCCATTGTTCGCTTGACAGCACCTTCCATGGTCACCAGTTCGGAGTTACTTGCAGCAATCCAGCAACCAGGATGAGGGGAGGCCGGGGGGGCTCTGTCCCTGTTGTATTGTGTTTGTAGAATTGTGAATTTTCATCATATTTTCCATTTGGTGTTTGTGTCCACATTCAAAGACAATAAGTCCCATTTACCATCCCTGCATGGGCTTCTCGCGCGTCCTTAAAGGGTTCCACTCCATCTTGGCGTCGGTCTGCCTTCTCATAGTAGCAGATCAACCTTTGTGAGTGTGTCCCAGTACTCTTGATATACAATTTCTCAGACAGCTACCATTGAAATAACAGGATCCTCATAGCTGTCTGCTAATCACCGCTGACACCATAACGGGAGGACTGTCTGTTGACTCCCTCGTTTGGTTCTTCAAGACTGTTGACCTGGAGTTTTCATCCAGGGATCTCGACCGGGACATCAGTTTCTGCAGAATTATGTAGAAAGATTTTAGCGATCAAAAGAATTGTTGCCACATGAACTTACAGAAAGAAGGTAGAAAATTCACATAAGTTATAACATATGAGTCTCGTTATTACCAAACATTTAAGATAAATATTGTTCCATTTGGAGTTGAAACATTCATTAATTGACATCTCTTAAAACGGTCCCCAGAACCCTATGCTTGTAATCAATGTCAATAACTGGAATGTCTGGTCCAGACTCTATTATTTACAGACCGCCGTCATAAAGCTGGAATATTGCTGAGTGTGGCGTTAAACAACGAACAAAACAAAAAAATACTAAAATGTCCACACTGTGCATGTAGGACATTTGATTCAAGTGAAAAGCGCCAGGTGACATTCCGACTTAAAATTGCTCTGATGAAAATAATTCATGGAATTCATTCAGACTTAACATTCATCCCCCATTAAACAACTGTCAAACTACTTTTCGACAATAAAGTCTCGGTATTGGAACACGTTATATAGGGAGTCACTTGTTCGACAACTGTTCCACACTGCAAACACATCCTTGCCAAGGTGAAGGTCATGATTGAACTATTGCTTAATTATCTTAACTCTCTCCCATATGCCCCATGTGTAGGAAGTTGACATATTGTTTCCCTATATCAGTGCAATACAGTATTTACTTTTCTTTCCAGTCATGACATCGGTTTGGCTTGTCATGGCGCTGTTGTGACACAGAACTAATCTTTACATAACACTTTGTTCAGGTAACCCAAGAATAAGACAACATCTGACTGAGGTGAACCTTGAGATCACTAGTGTAAACCTACAGACATGCACTTTCGATTAGCAATAATACAAAAGCAAACCTCACTTTAAGATGAAGACAACATCCGTTTACACGTTGAAAACCAGCTTTCAACTCAGATGTTTAATTCCTGCAGTATATGTGACAGATTCTGCAGCATATAAATGCAAAATTTCTGTGATTTTTTTGCAAAATAGGTACATTTCAGCACCGAGTACGCATTTCTGCAAAAACTTCGTATAGAGGTTTCATAAAACAAGGAAATTATTTTCGGATCAATGTGAAATGTCTTAAGCGAAACAGAAAATAAAACCTTTGCTGGCCATTTTTGCAAACAAAATATGCCTTTTAATTTACTTCATGGGACAAATTGATAGCAGTAATTGTCGCATACAAAGCGATTCCTTTCGATGTATATTGTACCTTATTATTTTCAACAACAAAACTAACAGTATAACTGTCACATATTAAATCATTGAGTCATGTATGTTATTATTCACTTAGGAAATAAACATACCGTGTTTTCAATGTAGAGCAAGGTAACCTGTTGACCGTACATGTAACTTTGTTCTACATTGAAAACACAGTGTGTTTATCTCCACTACTATAAAACGCGAACTCTTTGGTGTCAGCTAATACACTGAGTGAAGCGGCAGGGGTTGAGTCCTGTGGTTTGAGTGGGTTGTGAAGCAGTTTGTTTTACACGGTAACACTTCACACGAATTTATGACAGGCACTGAAAGCATCTAGCAGGGCTACTTCGTTAGCTAACATGAGGTGGGCACGCCTAAAGAAAACAAGCAAGCCTTGCAAAGCCTTCTTTCTACTCTACAGGTCGCCATTATGAAAAGTGATTGCATGAATTTCATAATTAGTTGCCACACACAACTGGGTGACAATTTACAAATATCGGTGTTACTGAAACTGTGCTGGTGTTGTACTGGTATTGTACTGGTGTTGTACTGGTGTTGTACTTTGTGTCCTTGCATTGTTTGCTGAATACTTAAACTTGACTTGTTTTAAATAATGTAAGGGGTAAGTTCATGGCTCTTTGGAGTGATTATTCTATACTTCGTTTATGACACGCTCCCTTGCAACAGTGACCAAGTGGCTGTTAAAACTGAAATGCCACATTACAATTAAATTTGAGTGAAACAAAAACCATCAACTGTAGATGTAAATAGAAAATTGATGCCATTATTTAATTTGATATACATTTACTGATATATCAGTGTACAAACTCTAACTCATTTGTGAGCTCCACCTCGTTTTGTTCAATGTCTTGTACAAATATGCATTGAAAAAATACATGATGAAAAGTTTGAAATTATCACACAAAAATTCTCACCAAAGGCGTGTCCTTATCCTCCCTGAGGGCGTCAGTGAATCTCCCACGATGATGAACATGCTGAAACAGAAAACAGCTAACTTTTCTTAATCCCTTCAAAGTTTAAGTGTGAACGTGTTAAAGATTAGTAGGCTATTGTCATTCTTTGTAATCTACATCTGGCTTTCTTGAAACAATGTGGTTCAGGTTGGAACACATGACTGGAATATACATGGCACTTTGTGTGTGACATTCGCTTTGCCACTTTCATACCCTTGGTAACTAACCCTTATTATCAAATCTGACAGTCATTATGAAAATAGAGACATGCCCTTTTAACGCCCTACACTTGTACTATACAGTTCCTATGCACTGACATATTGACAACAAACAATTGATCAAAATAGAAATATATTTTTCACACACACCAAAAGGCCCTTAGTAAAGTAACATTTATAGAACAAGATGGAGATAAGGAAAATATATTAATCAATCTATTCCGTAACATCTGTAGAAATTATGGAAGCGGTGAACATCAGGAAACGAAGCCCTGCTGTGTAGGCCTACCTGACTTCCGCAAACTTCTCTTCGTTCACCGCTGTTAGGGAGCTCTCGTCTTTCCGCATATTGATGTCAGTCGAGTTTGCAAAATAGCGTTGACGCCCGCGTGGTTGATTGCTCAGAGGGACTTCCGTACGTGGCGGTAATAATTGAGAACAACGAAACTGACGATCGGGAGCCGCCATAGAATATGTTCACCACTAATTTCATTCAGGTATCGATGGGCTTGGGATAGCGTTGGGTGTAAGAGGCTCACGTAAATATGTATTTTCCGATACGAAAGTTGGTTGGTTGGTTTGTTGTTTAACGCCACACTCAGCAATGTTCCAGCTATATGACAGCGGTCTGTAAGTAATCGAGCCTGGACCAGACAATCCTGTGATTGATATCATGATCATCGATCATCGCAATTGAGATACGATGGCATGCATCAACCAAGTCAGCGAGTCTGACCACCCGATCCCGTTAGTCGCCTCTTACGACAAGCATAGTCGCCTTTTACAGCAAGCATTCGTTGCTGAAGACCTATTCTACCCCGGATCTCCGAAGAAGGTAGATTTATATCTATATATTATAATCAGGTTTTATGATACTATTGTTTATTATTCTGTAATCGCAACAGTTTACTTTATCTTTATCCAAGGTGGTGGCGTTCTTTGCCATGGATATTTTCAAACAAACAATATGTTCTGCACTCTAAAACATTGAATTTCATTTTATGAACATCGATTCAAATTGACCCTTTCGAAAACACGAAGAACCCCTTATAGATTTCACGTCATAAATGTTATTATCGCGATAGCAATCCACATAACTATCAAGTCGATAGCCTAAAATATATTTCTTTCCGGGTGCAGTCTAAAACAAGTTGAAACAACATACCTTTCAGATAATTTCGCAAGATGTCGGCAGGCTGACCTTGACTCAGTAATGTCCTTGACTCAGGGGCAGCTAATCTTAGTTCATAATCTAGTTGGGAGTGGTTTCCCTTTGTTCTTATTATGGAATTTC